AATTCCATTGTTGTCACGATCAATAATATCCACATTTGCATTATGAATTTATGATAGCCGTCAGCACCATATCATCGAAGAATCATATGGCGATGTCTTCCAACTGACGTCTCCTCTCTCTCTCTCTCTCTCTCTCTCTCTCTCTCTCTCTCTCTCTCTCTCTCTCTCTCTCTCTCTCTCTCCCCCCCCCCCACGGGGACAAAAAGAGAACCCGTTTTAACTTTCTTCGGCGCTTTTTTTTTTTTTTTTTTTTCCCCTTTAATTTTAAAGCCCTCGCGACAACTCTCTATCCCGGCCGTGGTACGAGGACCGCCGAGATTGAGGGCTTGTCTAACAGGCTGTTCTAATGTAGAAGTCCCTCGTTTGTTGATTTTTCATTTGTCTTTTTTTGTTTTTTTTTGAGAGTTTGAATATCATTGGGGGTAACTACGCAGGAGTCACAAAAACGAGTTATAATTGCACTATGGGCCAAGATACAGTTTCGAATTGCACTTCGGGCACCCTACCTGGTCAGAAAGCTGGGTTGTATACATTGCCCGAACTGCAATTTCAAACTGTATCTTGGCCCATAGTGCAATTATAAATCGTTTTTGAGACTCCCACGTAGTTTCACCCCCAAAAAAGGTAAGCTACATTCTTCTCTCATCTATCTCATCTTCTTGCCAGTACTCATCTATCTGAGACTCATCCTCTCGCTAGTCTATGTGTAGTATGGGGGAACACCAACCAACCCAGATCTCACCCTAGCCCACGGGGTAGGTTGGCACCGCAGCTGTGGTGCAAGAGCAAGGCTGTACAAGTCCCTCATCACGGTGATGAGGGGTGGGCAGGCATTGCCGATGGGGGAAATCAGCGGTGCTACCGTAGCACCAAGCAATGGCCAGTCGCTGCACCAACCCCCTACCCCTCCACCAACCCCACACGGCGGTGTCTAATGGTCAATATTGTCGCTGCTTAGCAACCAACAACATCAGCCAAGGTCCTGCCAATCCTGGCTTGGGGGGCCGACGGGGTTATCTCTAGCTGGAGAACACCAAGCTTGCCCAGGCATGTACTTCAGGCCATTGGGGATTGAACCCACGACCTCCTGAATGCAACTTCTGTGGCCACTTTGTAGAGACTCAGTGCATCTGACAGCAAGTGTGGCCTAGTATCTGAAATACAAAGTGCATAATCACATCGCCACTTTCTAGAGTGCATCTGACTTCAATTGCGTCCTCACAGAATGAACCTGACCGCAATCACATCAAGAAATTCGTCCGAAAAGTCCTCGTGTGGTTGTCCCCAAAATGAGGCAGCGAATACGGAAATGGGCAGGCCAGACGACATCTTCCGCCATACACATAGCTGGGGAGATGGTCACACTTGGAGACTTTTAACTTAGGCCTTTTTTGCTTATTTCCGGACGGAATTGTGGCGAGATGCATTCAGCTGTGGCTGAAAATCTGTCTAGTAGACACATTTTAGAGATGGCTTAGTGTGTGTCCTGATACGTAGTTGTTGTCACTTGTTGAGGACCAAAATTACCTTCTTTACAGTTTTTTTTTTTTTTTTTTTTTAAAGGAACTCGTATATTCCAAAATTCAAT